GGAGTGCGCCGCCGCCTGCCACTGCTTGCCTAACACCATGTTTTCAGACCCCTGCGGGGCCCGGCGGGATGCACGGGCTGGCTGCGCAGGCTGGGGACCTGGCTTCCTTGGTCCAGGGTGTCCTGGAAGGCTGATTTGCTTCCCCACACACACTCACTCTCTCCCCTCCCCTCCCCTCCCCTCCCCTCCTGGTCTGGGACCAGAGAAGACCTTTCTTAAGGAAAAGCCAAGGAATGCCTCCAAGTAACTTTTCTTTCACGTGACTCACAAGTACTGTAAAGGAAGCTGGGCAGCGATTGCATCTACACACTAACTGAATTATTTGTATTATATGTCTCTCTCACAAGTAAAAGTGGAGCCGTACTCCCATAATAGGCAGGCCAAGCAAAGTAACACTGAGCTTGTCTTTACTGTTTTCCTTTGGCATCAATTTCTACCTGATTTAACGTCAGAGCAAAAAGCAGGGAACATTGCACATGGTTTCCAGGCTCAATCTGCAAGATAGAAAGGGAAGTTTGAGTACCCAAAATATTTATCTGCTGATTCTTCTGTGCAATGTTGAATAAATTATCATAAACTTAGTAGTTGTGATTGTAGAACTGAGTGCTCTACAAATGTGGAGGTAGAGATGATTATATAAATAGATGGTTGTATAATTATAAACGAAGCGTTTTCCTTTGTGATGCTGCCAATCCTGGATGGAAGTAGGCAGTAATAGTGCCGTAATTAAAAAAAAAAAAAAAAAGGGGGGGGGGGGGGCCGGGCCTAGAAGTAAGTAAACTAAAATCAAGAAAGGCAAAGTGACGCTTTTCTTTTGGAGAAACTGGAATTCAATACAAGACTTGTCAAGTCATAACGTTCTCTCTTCTTTGTTCCATGTGCTTTCCTGGGCACTATTTTTTAACATACACGGGGACGTTTCAGACATCTTGCTAATGTATTTTTAATCTTGCATGACAGCGTACAAGTCGGATTATTGTTTTTCAGCCTCTTCTGCTTTTTCTTCATTCAAGATATATTTGTAAGCTAAGTAAAACACAATATAGCTGAAGAATAATTTTTGAACATCAGAACCATCTTTTGTCCTATCTACACCTTTTTGTATCAAGGATTATATCTGTAGCAAGCAAGATGGATCATGTGGACGTTTAAAACCAAAATAATCCCTCAAGTGAATTGGACTTTGGGCTGCTAAATTGTCAGTACTGAAGGCAATGCTTCCTTAGGCACTGATCAGACATTGCATGTGCAAAGAGAGAGTTTGGATTTTTTTTAAATACAACAATTGCTAATAGTTCATATTGTAGTTCTAAAGTTTTAAAACTTTCCTAATGGGCAAAAGGGAAATAACATGTATTTATGGCACTGAGGACACCTTCACCTTTGTCCCTTGTTTTGTTTTTCTCTTTGAATCTTTCCCTTTCCCACATGCATGGCCTGCATTAATGTTACATTGTAATGATTTTCTTTCCACCTTCAGGAAGGTTTAATGAGTTTTCATTTATACTACTTTTCTTTTTGCCTGGAACTCAATGCTTTCTTTGTGCACTGTTTCTTTTCCTTGCTGGTGGTAGGAACAGTAGTCTGAAGTGGAGTTTTGTCTTTTAGTGCAGCACCAGCCAGTGGAGCTGTAGTGTTGTTGGGTTTTGGTTGACTTTTTTTCTCAAGAAGGAAGAAATTGTGTGTGAGAGATTAGTTTTTCAAA